CCAAAATTATGCTTAAGGTACCAGAGTTACGATTTAATTATCTGTTAGATTCTACCAAATTTATGTTTACCAGAGTTCCAACATCATATTTACCAGAGTTACGAGCTAATTCTACCACATTTATGTTTACGAATTTTGAGTTAACTCTACCAAAATTATACTGTATTTACGAGTTAAAGGTTAACAGGTTGGAAAATTACCTAAGTTTGTGTAAGTTTCTGAAAACAAAATTACATGTAATTTTTATCATGTGAATAATTTGTGCAAAAATTTTTATAAAGCTGGCATTAAAGATAAATAAAAATTACAATTCTGAACATAATTTTGGATATCTTAGTGCTGGCTAATGTCGGTAAAGTTATCATGTGACAATCAGTGATGTAAATTGGGTTCGCGCAGTAGGCGCAGCGTACATAGATTTAAATTTGCGCGTATATCAGCGCTCTCCGTATATATAGCGCGCATATAAATTGTGCACATTTTTTTGCGTTTGCGCGAATAAAAATTTTTTGAATTTATGACACTGGTGACAATGCACTCTATTCAGTTACATTAACAAAGAAGCTAAAAATAAGCAAAGTTAATGATATATTTTATTTACATTAATAAGTCGATGAGCATAAAAGTTATTTTATTTAAATTTGACATTTTTTATTTTTCACAGAGTGAATTGACGATATCGATATAATTTCTATTCAATTAGCATAGTTTACTGAAATTAACAAAACGCCGATCATGCCGATACGTACGAGCGGAATTTAAATTATGATTATCAATATCGATATCTAATTTTCAACAGCAGTATTGCTAATAACCAAGTAACCAAGCTTATACGTAATTTAACTTTATAACGGTAACCTTAAGTCTTTTTTTTTTTTTGTATGTTTTCTTCTTTCAAATACTTCTGGTGCAATATATGGTATGATCCCATAAACTTCATTTGATGATTTTTCATCAACTGGCCCACAAAAACCTAAATCTTTAATAAAACATTATATTGCCGCTATGTAAATCGCAATTTTTTTTATGAATGTCATATTACATCTAAAAATTGAAATCCTATCCTTTAAATTTAAGGTTGAATAATTAACTTTTAAATAATTTCTTAAATCTCCTTCTGGATGACTATTCATTACTATAATATAATTTCCATTCTCAGGAAATCTAGTTATCTAATGACAATAAACAATCGAATTTGAATATTAAATTTATTTACAATATTATGTCGAGTCAAATTTCAAACCCACTAATACAAAAAATAATAAAGATTTATTTAACAGGCGCGTGCTTTCCAAATTCGAAACTCATATATCTAGCCTTTTTATTTATTAAGTTGATCTTATGTTCGGGTGATGCTTCTTTTGACTCAAGAATTTTTTTGATGACTCTAGACCAATGATCGCTAATCATCTTAAGAATCTTTCTCACTATCCACATTGAAAGGACAAGATTTTTGGCTCGAATTTTTTGGATAAACCTTTCTTCCGCATTTACACCCTTATAATAAGGAATAGTTATCCTTGCTAAAATGGAACTCCTTATTAGAGGAAGTGCTTGCTGATCGCTTATGCTAATGATTAGTTCAGTTCCTACAAATCACAATAACCAATAAGTAATAAGAAATCTTATTAGTACTATTATAAATTTTTAATTAAATACTATACCGGTTGCCTGCATTGTAATAAGAGGAATAGCTAATATCTCCTTTGAAAGTTCTCTTGTTAAAAATTCCCCATAATTAGATTGAATGCGAGCCAAAATGTAATCAAAATATAGTTTGATTATCGACTGAAGCCGTTCTTTATCCAATTGACTTTTTCTGTCTCCTAATTCATCTTTCTTTACTGGCTTTGCACCTTCTAAGAACAATGCTGCGAATTCAAGTGAAGGATTATCTTTTGTGATACAAAAAACAGTATAATCCGGTTTTCGCGATTCGTCTGACCCGATAAGTTGTGAGAGTGAATTAGAGGTGCTAGACACAAATTAATATAATATTATAAGAAAGACCAAATTTGACACTTAAGAAGTAGATTGATTACTTCTGTGGGATTAGTTGAGCAAAGTCTGCAACTGCAGCATCTATCTGAGGATATAACATCTGCAACCAAGTTGCTTCATTAATTTCTTTTAGATTTTGTTTTTGGCATTTATCAATTAATTTAAATCTAAATAAAAATTTGTTAGTACAAGGATTACATTAATGATTCCAGATATATATACTCACAGCTCCTCGACACTATTCTTAAAAAAACGTTCATCAACTCCGTTCAAGTCTGGTCGTGTAACTTCTTCAATTTCATTGTCCCAAATGCTATCTATCCAAGTTTCAACTCCTTCAGGAGGGTTGAACATAAAATTAAAATTAAAAAGCGCATCAAAGTCATTCTTAGCTTGTAAATAAGTATTCAGAGGTATTAAAAATTTAATGGCATGCCATGATTTAAGAGGATGATTAGGAGGGAGGTTTACTAAATTCATTTCTAAAATGGCATCATGGCAATTATTAATTATTTTTTGATTTAGTAGTTCAGTTTTGTTGTTTATGGTAGTAATTTCGTAAAATTTGTCATTTGACTTCAGCTTCTATTAAGCATAAAGTTAGTTAAATAAAATTTTGAGAACTAAAGTTGTGTAAGTTTATACCTTAATATTATCAAAAAAACGTTTATGTATGTCTTCTTCTTTTTTTTGCTTCTTAATGTGTTCAACATTTACTGACAAATTAAGAAATTGTTCTGTGCTTTTAAGCCCAGAATTCCACTGGCTCAAGTTATGCCAAAAAAATTTATCTTTCAGATTTGCCTAAACAAAAGATAAGTACATTAATATTAATAATTGAATAAATACTTTGTTTATGATCGATCTTGAGTTAAAGCTCATAATTAACAAGTCTTTATTAGAAGTAAAGAAATTAAGACCAAAGGAACCAGTTTCCCGCGAAACCTTTAGCTCAATACTTATACTTATATTAGTGAATCTCTTCCCATCATGACATGTATAACATTAAAAATTTAATCATTGCTTGAATTTTCTAATATTAAGGTATATCACATATACCTCTGGTTCCTTAAATGTGTTCTTTTCTTTAACCGCTTGTTCTACTAATTTGTCAGAGATTTTTGATGTCCAAGTATCTCTAGCACCTTGTTCATACCAATAAATGGTATTTTCTGGTGTCAAAATTAATTTTAAAGACTCTTTATAGGATAGTTTTATGAGAAATTGGATGAATCGATGTAGGTTACAACTGGATACTGATGCATGTGTAAAAAAAGACTAGAAAATATAAGTTATATAATTAAAAATCGTTCTGCAAAGATAATTATTTATCAAAAATTAAGATACCATAAATTTTTCTAAGGGTAAATTCTCAATGGGCGTTCCAGAATCAAACAAATTAAGTTCAAATTTGATTGTATCCTTCAGAGAAAAAAGTTAGAAAGGTAAACGAATAATGTTTTCTAATAATAAAATTTATTATTTACCAATTTATAGTTGTTTTCAACCCCATTTTTTTCATCATATTGGACGTAAATCCAAGAAAAATTCATAAACTTTAAATTCAATTTACAGCTAAGGATATTCTATCGCTATCGCTATGAAACAAGTAAATCGTTAAATTGATGACAGAAAAAAGGGGTTTTTGAAGGGATTAGTGCATACTTTCTGTCAGATGATCTTTATATGTTTTGATTGGTTGAAATATAATGATGATGACCGTAATTTTAAAGTTTAAAATTACGGTCATCTTCATTATATTTCGACCAATCAAAACATATAAAGATCATCTGACAGAAAGTATGCACCAATCCTGTCATCAATTTAACGATTTACTTGTTCCATAGCGATAGCGTTAATATTATTAAAATTTAAAATTTCGATTGTATTAAAAGTTAATTGAATTATAATTGTTTTTCGTTTCTGCCCAAATTTATATTTTAACTCTGCTCAAATTTATTCTATAATTTTGCCTAAATTTATACCGTATAGTTCCAAAATTAAGCACCCCCGAAATTAAGCACCACCAAATTTTGTAAAATATCCAAAAATAAGCCCCATGCTTTTATATTGGGTTATTTCTGACTTCGTATATTTATTTATTTAAATTATGCCCAAAGTAACTTCTGGATATTTAGAAATTTCACGTGAAATTTCGTTATTTGACCGACGCTAACTTCTTCATTTTCATCATGACAAAGTTACGATTTTTTACCAACATTATGTTTACCAAAGCTGCGAATTAATTCTACCAAAATTATGCTTAAGGTACCAGAGTTACGATTTAAT